GATAAGCGTGTTCTTAGCCCCCAACAGGAGCATGGGAAGTTCAAGAAGATGCGGCTGGCACTTCCCTCAGGAATTCACGGTGTTGTGGCTGGCTGGCTGGCTTGGGAACTAGGGTTCAGTCTGGTGAGATTCTGTCTTTAGGTGGAAGCTAATAAACGCAACAGAACTGTATTTGCATTGTCTCGTGGAGTTCTTTGGGCGGAACCTGACACCCAGGCTCTAAAATACTCAGGTCCAAGTCGAGAAGTGGAAGGGGCATCCTCAGAGATGTTGAAGAGGAGATGTTGGTGCTCCTGGAGCAAATGGGTCATTTGTGGCCTGGTATGAGGGCATGCTGTCCAGGAGGTGAGGCTGCGGAAGCAACATTCTGTGGACGCAACTTCAGCCACATTGATCCTGTTTCTTAACCAGGAGCAGCAGAAATGTTCCTTTCAAGATGAAGTCATTCAGTGGTAGAAGCAGTGATGCCCGTGTTTAATATTCATGAAACGTCTGTGATATTATGGCTGGACATAACCCTTGGATGTGCTTGTAGGGGGAAGACGTCATCGATCTACTGAAGTCTCTGCCTCCGTCTGAAGCCGTGGAAATTGCCGAGAGGACCTTGATTTGGGGGAAAATTGCACTGGAGGAAGAAATGGACAACTGTGAAGAACAGGTCATCTCCATGGGGAGAAAAACATCCTACTGATAGCACCACAGTTATTCTTATAGCTGTGACCAATACAGAGTTGAAATTGGGGTGGGGAGCTTTAATAACATCATGGTCCACATTTCTTCAGGCTTCATCATCTGCCAGAGTTGGCGCATTCACAGGAGATGAAACCAGAATGTGCTTGCAAACAGGGTGAGGTCTTGCATCAAAGCCCAACTTTGGCATGAAAACATTAAATTATTATCCAAAGGAGTGGTCAAACAGTCTTCTTTCCATTATTAGATAAAGTGTGGCGAAAAGCAGGTTAAGCTGACTCAAGTTTATTTTGCTCAAAACAGAGTTGTGTTGTTAGGCCTTTTTCTTGTGCAGAGGATAAAGAAATAATTCTTATGTCTTTCCTTATGTTGCCTCAATTTGTATTGCCAGCAGAAAATGCACCTGCAGGTGAAAAAGGTTCTGGTAGAAATTCTCAAATTCCTGCTTAGTCACCAGAAAGGTAAATATTGCATGATTTATGTTTTTCTTTTTTGAAAAATAAATAGGGAACAGTTCAGTAATCTTTCTTATTCTTCCTGTCTCCGGCTTTTTTCTCCCTTTTTTGGACAGAAAATCATTGGCAGAAAGAAGAGTATGAGAAAGATTTAAAAACGTTTAAAATTCTTGTAACTCTGCAGGTAAGAATAATGTGGCATTGGAAACATCTTGCAAGACGTTTTCAGTTGCAATCTAGGTTGACAGAAATGTAATTACTAAGAGTTAATCTATGGATTATAGATGTGCATTGAAACAAACCCATTCATTTCCCGGGGTAGAGAATTAGAGGAGTGGGCTGCTGTTCAGGGGAACAATGAAAGACTTGATCAGGGCTAAGAGAAGAGGCCTTCTTGCACATAGAGAATGTCAAGCTTTGGAAAAATATTTCCCTGAATTCTTGGAGAGTTACTGCTATCAGGAGAGGAGAAAGTGTTGAATCTGGTTGCCCAGTACTGTGAGCTCCTGAGGCCCACGTTTTCTGGATGGGTATCTGCACTGACATTTCATCGCCTGTGCCTATTGAATGTTGGAAGAAATGTTCATCTTCTGTGCTAATGATGGTTATGGAGGTTGATTTTGTATGATTTTCATGCTTCCACCATTTTCCTTTGTCCCCTTCAGGAGAATTTTGATATCTGCATTTCAGTCAAAGATTATTGCAATCCCACACTAATTGCTCAGCTCCTTGAAGACAACATTCAAGCCTATGAAAAAGCGAGGCGACGTAGAAATCCGCAAAAAGGGGAGACCAAGCCGGGAGGTCCCAGTGTAAAGAAAGAGCTGACTCAAATTAGACTTTACAGATTGGCTTTCCTTCTGCAAAAGACAGAAGCTGAAATGGGGAGAGAGATGGCCCTTCGAGCATTAGCGAATGGAAAGGTTGAGGAGGCATTACAAATATGCAGGTGAAGTAAAAAAAAAAAAGCAGTCTGTTTCTTGAGAATTATCAATAAATCTATCGTTAATCATCTTGACGTACCTGGGATTTCCTTTGCTCAACTCTTTTTTTTTCAATTCCATTAAGTTACTTTTACGAATACCACCATAACGAAGAGACAGGGCGGCTGTTGTTCCTGGTGTCTCAAAAGCTTTGCCATATGCTGGGGTCCAATATTCCCATGGTTATGCCAGAAGGACTGAATCTTCCAGATATGATCAACAAGATGGCTTGCCAGGCAGCTACACTCTGCAGTCCTGGTAGGTAATTAGAAAAGCCTTCATTTGTTACTTTCTGAAAAAAAACACCCTCTCTAAATAATCACATCACAATTCTCAAATTTAATTATTTTTAAAAATTAACACGCTGTAGTGTTGATGGTGATTTCCCCTTAACCTTAACTGAACGACCAATGGAGGGATAATTCACATTTAAATATCTTTGTCCTAGTAAAATGTCTCAAAAATAAAGTCACTCTAGGGAAGTGTATTGAATACTAACTTGGTTATAAAGCCTTTTCTAAATCCCATTTTGTTTATTCCAGTTTGCTTGGATAACTTTCCTCATTTGGGAGGATTAAAAACATAATTCAGTAGCAAAATCTCCAGTAGCAAAATCTTGGTCTGTTTTTGGAATCAGGATGTCCTTGGTTTTTAGCCACATAAATCTGCATAGACACTTGCAGGTTTTCTGGATCTATTTTTGTTGAGAACATTTTAACCGAGCACATATTGTATTAGCCAGTTCTCTTAAGAGGTATTTTTGGAATACAGAAATAAAACTTCCAGGAAGCTGGAATCTGAGGATGTGATTTCATACTATGTGCTGGCTCAGTGTTTCCTAAAATTATATTTGGATCAGGATAAAATTTAACCCATTGCTATTGGGTGACAATGGCAAATGTTTTCCATTTAAAAATACATCCCTCTTTCTCTTCTTCACAGATCTTTTTCTAGATATATTGGAATTTTGCCAATACACTTCACTTGCCCATGAAATTTATGCAAAATGTCAAATGGAAGACTTTGGATTTATACCAAAGGTAACACAGCTGCGTGATTATTCAGTTTCACTGTATTTACCAAGAAGCTTCTCCTGGGGCTTGTGCCTTAGAGGATTTCAACTTTATATTTTGGAATAAAAAAAGGAAAGCGCCATCCTCTAGCACCGATTTCTTTTCTTAGGCACCTCTGACCCCAAAGTGATGTTCTCCTCTGTTTAGGCAGCCTCTCTTGGTACCGATAAAGACCCTTACGCAGACTGGACGTTTGAAGAGTTCTTTACTGAAGACGGGGCAGTCCTGGACCCGCCCGCTGTGCTTCCTTTTGTGTACAAAATTGCTTCTTCCCTTGTGCCTCTGGCAGGTAGCTTCAGCCTTCTCTTCATCTTCCTTCACATTTCAATGCTTGATGTCCTGGTTAAGCCTATTTAAACTATCAACACAGAAAGCTTTTTGCCTCATTCTGGAAGACATTAATTGTCAAGCACCACACACACCCAGATGATGCTAAGCAGTGTTGTAAAATGTCATCTACTGAGGCATTTGGTTGCAAGTCATAATTCTCTTGTCTTGCAGAACGGAAAGTTTATCCTCTGGAATCGACCAGCTTGGCGTATTGTCCATTCGAACAAGGTATTATGGGACCAAGTGATTGTGTAGATCAGTGCTTCTCAACCTTGGCAACTTTAAGATGAGTGGACTTCAGCTCCCCGAATTCTCCAGCCAGCCGCTGATCTAGACTGAGCTGTCTAGAACAGCCCTCTCTGCCCCAAACTGGTTAAAGTCTACCGTGACTTTTAATTAGTCCACGACTCGCACAAACTGTTCGAAAGGAGATGATATGGATGGGATCCAAAGGCTTTCTTCTTTCACTTCTTCCACTGTCAAATCACGGATCATTTCCTAAAGCTCCATTAGCACCCAAAGAGGTCTTGTCTAGAACATGGGAGATCGTTCTTTTCAGAAACAGAAAGCCAATGTTCCTGGGGTCTGCGGCTGCTAGTGCAGTTGTATCTTCTGCAACGGTCTGGATTTCCTGGCCACAGATTGGGTCACTGAAGGCTGGCATCTGGCCATTGACTGCTGAAGATTTCTTTCAGCAGGCTGTTTCCATTGGTTGTCAACCTACCAATGCAAACAGCCCAGTAAAACCAGATCTTTAGTGTTCTAACACCATTCCTTGTTTTCTTGCTGTAGGAAGGAACCGTTGCTGTTTGGGCAAGAACGCTGTCTCTGGCCTGCTCAGCCACCTCCAAGAATGTAGCCAGTACGAGCTGGCTTTAGGGCTGATCTCCTCCTCTTTCGGGTCCCTGTTTCAGCACATGATATCCAACAACATGGATGTCACTCTGAGTAAGAAGGTATGGCCTTGCTGGGGAAGGACGGTTACAAAGGGAGCAGCGCTGAGCCTGGGATGAAAGAGGCTTTGAGAGCAACCGCAGTGTTTTCCACGGTTCCACCATCTGGTTCTGTGTCCATCAGCTGCATGACCAGGAAATGCTAGAAGAGGCTCGAGCGTTCCTCCTGGCCGTGATGCAGAGTTCAACTTCGGCGATCCAGAGCATTGTGACTGCTCTCTTGCACAAGGTGGGTCTGTGCAACGTGCCCAACTGGGAGCGAGCAAGCAGGAGTCTGGCAGGATCATTTCAATTAATCGGGTGCCTCTTTTTCCCACTGGATGTGCTCACAGGTATTCAGCAGTCCCCCAGCGGATCACAGCCTGGCCTTCGGCTACTGCACCCTCTTGCCCAGAGCAATTGTTTTCGGAAAGCTCTGGGACATTATCAACCAAACGTCGCAGAACTACAAGAAGGTCCTGGTAAGTTGTGAAGCTTTTTGTTCCTAAAATGATTGTGCCAGGCAGGACTACAGAGCTGGTGGCTCTCTCGGTTGAGAGGCTTAGCTCTCCCCAGGGCCTGCCATCGAGTGCCGCTCTGGAAGCCCACAGATGCCGTTTCCCCCTAAACAGGCCATTGCTATTGTGGGAGCACAGCTGGCTCTTTTCTATGAAGACCCCCAGGAAAAGCAAGCTTTTGAGGACTTAGTCACTGACGCCGAATGGGGCATAAAGCTTGGGAAGCTTGGGGTGAGTCCCTTTGTCTTAAACATTCAAGTCTGGAACAAAAGGTTGGCGAAGGTGTAATTTCAGCCACTTGCATTCACCCTAGGATTTTGCAGAAACTGCTTTACATACACATTTTTAGGATGCTAAGAAAAAAGAGATTGTTCTGCCATTCCATTCATTTGCATTGTTAGTTACACCAAAGAAACAGGGGAGGGCAAGATGTAAAAATCTGTTCACCATTAATTGGCATCAAGAATTGTAGCTGGAGACCTGAAATTATAGGTTAGAATACAGGGCGCCATTATCATAAAGGTATTTTTGCTAAATGCTTGGCATGCTGAAGTGGGCATTTTGTTTGCCCATAGATCTCTTTCCAGAATATATTCAGGATGCCGTCGGTAAGGAAGAAAGAGCTTCTAAGGACATTGGTTCAACACCCAAACGCAGATACCAACCTCATCCTAAACTACTGCAGGTAAGGAAGCTCAAGTCCATGGTGGCAAGAAAAATGCCCTTCCCTTCTGTACATGGTGGATGAGACATTTAAGCCAGATTCAAACAGCCAAGGAAAATCTGTGCTTAAATGTGGCGCATTTCCTGCCCTCTTTATACACAGAAATAACTGTGTTTAGCTGAATCACTGACTCTCTCAATTAGGAAAGTGTGTTCCTTTCCCTCCCTCTCTCCCTCCTGAAAAGTCTGTTCCCCCTTTTGGCTGATTCTGCTTTTCAGAACTTTTCTTTTGGATACGGACGCTGCCCTGCAGCTCTATATTGAAACGCATCTCCAGAACGCCAGTCATGTTAAAGGAGAACTGGAGCAGGATGCTGGGAAACCACCTCACGTTTTGGCAGTGGCCAGAGCTGTAGAAACCATTCCGCTTCTTAGCAGCACCGCAGGCCTGGTGACCAGCCTCAGTACAATGCTACACAAGGTAATGTAATTTTGTTTCACAGAAAAGAGCAAGATTGGTTTTATTTAAGCCAGGGTTTTAATTTCCAAAGCATAGTTATGTGAACCTGGTGAATACAAATGGTGACAAAGGCCAACAGAGGGAAGGGCAGGAGATATTTGTGCTTGAGGATGGTGGTGCTGAGAGGGTAGGATGTGGGATCCCCTAGCCAAAGTTAAGGGATGAGTTAAGGGATGAAAGAAGCTTTATATTCTGAAAATCATTGATTATTCTACTTTGGTTTCTCCCTTGCTTTTGATTGGTGAAACAGGTTGATCCGTATGACTATGAAACCATTGAAAGTCTTTTGACGGTGATCGAAAGAGCTGGAGGGCAAGCCACAGGCCTCCCCCTGAACTGGGTAAGAGAAGGATGGTTTTACTGTAGGACTGGCAGCTGGGCATTTTGTAAAGGGCATCCACATTTCAGCTCATTCAGTTTGAAGGCAACCTCTAAAACCCACCAAAATGTTTATTTGTAGAGTACAGAAGATGACCTTGATAGAAATATGCGGGAACTGTTACCTAGGCAAAAGGGGGCCGAAACATTTTTAAAGTCCAGGATGAGATAACATTTCGAAGAGGCTCAGATAAACACTTCCCTAATCCACTGGACTGTAAGGAGCACAATCAGGCTTGCAAGAGCCTGTTATGATAGCCAATCTTAATAAAGCGTAGTTCTGGTCTTTCTTTGGAGTTCATTTCCTAGTCTGGTCTACCTACTGGGGCTGTGAATATCTGAAAACCATCTTTCGTCCCAGGAATGCTGGTCTGTGTGTTCCATTAGAGAACTAGGCTGCACAGATGTTGAGTGTAACATTATTCAGTGGTTCGTGTTTGGGACTGAACGTGTAGGCGCAGCTTCTAAAAAGCGAGCCCCGGGGAAGAAACTAACCTTCTGTTTGGTCTGTCTGTTCCTTCCAGGCCACCATGCTCCTAAAACACTTGAAATCCTATAAAAGAGTTTCTCCTCCTGGCGATCTGGAACAGCAGTATGCCTTTGACCAGGCTGTCTGTCTGTCCCCAGCTGCTCAAACCCGACTGCCTTTCCATCTGATCTTTTTTAGAACTTCACAGTGCTTCTGGAAGATTATTTGTGAGTGTGCTTTTATAAAAAGTATTTAGAAAGGGATTCTTTAAACATTTCTTCATACGAGAGAGCTGCATTTTGAGCATTAACTTGTTCCCCAACTCACTGCTGATCTTTTTTTTTTTACAGCTGCAGAAATCAATGAGGAATCCTTCCCAAAGCTGCTTTTGATATGCAAAGTCATGAAGGTAACGAGGTCTATGTTTTTGTTCTTTTAAGTCACCGGATTAGCAAGCACAAAAGCTGAAATGGAAGGGCGGAGAAACATGCTTGTGGTTGAGGCCTCTTCAGTAGAAACTTAGTAGGAAAACCCTGCTTTGGCCAAATCCTTTCCAGCTGAAACTGGCGCTTCAGTCAGTCGCTGAAAGGAGATTTAAAATGAAGTTTACTGAAAAAGGATGTAGCTGATTGACGCGGTCACTTTGTGGCAAATCCTGCTTACCGTGCCAGTACGCTGCTCTGTTTACTTTTGACAAGGTTTCCCTGGATATCCTCCACGTGTCGGCAGCTAACCGCATCTTTCAAGAGCAGCTGAAACCAAACCTGTTGGCAACAACGAGCAGTGGGCAGTTGTGGCTAGCCGACAAGAAAGCTGAGAAACCCACACAGGCTGTTCAGTCTTACTTGCTGTTGATCACGAACCCAGAGTGGGCTATAGCCCTTGCCCACAAAATAGCTCAGGAGCTTCCGACAGGTTGGTGACTGCTCTCTGACAGGGGTGCTGGTTTAAGGGTCTTTCAAAGCTGGGTTAAGCCACGGCCTCCCCTTTACTGAATAACCCACCGTTGGCCGGATTCCCTCGGCAGACTAAGCCAAAACAAAATCACTTCTTGGCTTTGCACGAGATCCATCCTCTTAACTATATATCCTTATGAAGCCAACCGTTATTCATGGCAGGTCTCCAGGCTCCTGCAATTTGTGTCTTTGGCATCTGGCGGCCTGTCTCTCTGGACGGGCCGGGAACGGAGACTCACGCAGGGGACTGTGGATGGTGAATTTAACTCTTTTCCCCTCTTTGCCTCCAGGGCCCACCAAGGTCCAGACTTTGAAAATATGCCTCAGCTTAGCAGAAAAGTGGCTGAAGAATACAACAGTGACGGTACTGAGTCCCGCATCACAAACCCTTTGCGTATATTTAAAGAACAGCTTTGAATCGCGCACATGCATATGTCATACGAACTGTTCACTATCACTGCTCTATTCTACTCTGCGGGGGGCGAAGAAACAATCCGGGAACGGGGCACTAGGAATCCTAGCAGACTTGTGTTTCCTTCCCTGGGAACAACTGAATTTAGCTTCCTCTCCTGTGGGCTGCTTTGGATGTTTAGCTGCTTCAAGTGCACGTATCCTCTGCCACTGAGACTTCGCCGCACTCCCCCACTCACACATGCACACCCCTCCACCCTCAGACGCTTGCGGGGTTACAGAGAGAGTCTCCACCAGAGCGCTACACAGCCACCCGTTTGCTGCCATCTCCTTTGCAACAATGCCATTATGCAGTTCAGTTTTAGGCAGTTTGCTAGTTCCCGTTTGTTCATAAAACGCACCACCTTCAGTAGGTTCCGTCCGGTACTTAGGAGACACCACCGGTGTCTTCCTGCAGACACATAGGTGATGAAGAAAAAAGGGCAAACAAATATAGGCCTACAGTTTTAAACTATTCCAGTGTTTCATGGCTGAACGAGGAAGACAATTCAGAGAATACAGCTGGTCCCTCCTGAGTTGGGTGGGCTGTCTCAGCTCTTCCCCTGAGCGGCTGAGAAAAGGGGGTGCTGGGAAGCAAAGGTGACTATCGGCGTGGCGGAGGTGCGGTCCCAATAGCAGGCGTGCAAACGAACGTTCTCCCTTCTGCTCGAAGGACGGCTCTCGTGAGAAGGCCCAGGCGCACCTAAAGAAACTGCAACTGCAGCACCAGAAATCAGCCACAGAAGCTGTCTTGGCAGCCCAGAAGCTGAACTCCGAGGACTATCAGAAGCTCCTCGGCAAACCTGCCAACCTGATCATTCTGCTTTATCAGCACAGCAGCATCGCTGAGAGAATCCAAAATCCAACTGGGAGAGATTACCCAGGTAAGCTCAACCTCTGCCCCTTGGCGAGAACTAACTTCCAATAGTCAGGCACCCAGGACATGCCCCTTTCCCCAGGCCAGAGAAGAAGTACACGTAAACGTCACTCACAGGCGGCACAGAGTTCCACAGAAGCGTAATCAGGAAGACAGTCAGACAGAAGTCAAACAAGTCTTGAGGTTTCAGAGGGCAAAAAGCAAGCAAAAGCTGGCCTCCAGGCAGCAGAGTTAGAAATTGCGGAGGTCTGTCGGCCAATCCAATGGGAAGGGCCGCTAGCATTACCTTAGCACAAGATACAGATGCTGCTCTCACAAAGACAGCTGTGAATATTGGCCAGAGCTACCCTCCTCCAATGCAGGTGGTCTTCATTAAACCTGATCTGACTGCAAGGTTTCAGCTGTGCAGGGCTGCTCTCAAGTAGACGTATTCCTGGAGCGTTCTCCTGTGTCAGTTGATCTTTCTGTTCCTTTCTGCCTTCTGAAGTTTAACCTGGTGCTGCCCCTGTTCAAATGGGCTGGGTGGCACCGATCCATCTAGGGCAGAGGGTGCCAAGGGACTGGCATCTGATTCTGCCCTGGTTCCTCTGCTAGGCCTCATGGAGTGCAGACAGAGTATTTAGGCCCATCTTGGGATTCCTCTGCTCTTGTTGAATGGGCTCCTTGAGTATGTTGAAGCCTCCAAGTCGCTGCTGTATGGAAATGTTGATAGGAAGTCAAATATGGGGCATGTGAAGGGAGTAGAAGTGGGCAAAGGAAGACTCTGTTCTTAAAAAAAATCTTTTTCTCTGGGTAGATATCCATGGTGCTGCAAAAGAAATAGCTCAAATTAACAACTTGGATCTGAAGAAAATCTTGGACATGCTGTTGGAGAGGTGGCTGTGTCTGAATGTCCTCCCCACAGATGTAAGCTCAGCTCCTCCTCTTGCTAGCCAGGTGTTCTGAGGTGGTACCAAGGACAGCTCCCTCTTGCCTTCAGGATTAGGAGCGGCTGCAGGGTATCTTCACTCTGCTAGGCTTGCCAGCTGCAGTGGCACTCATCACCACATCCAGCCGAACCTCAGGAGTCTGCTAGCACCTTTTCGGACTAACGCCAGCTTTCATGTTGTAGCTCACACCCAGGCAGAAAACTTTTATAAACGTTCAGCCATTATATGCCTATGCGTTTAACCTACCTAATAGCAAAAGTTACTTGAAAATGTTGTAAAATGGATCAGAGCTTCTACTCCAGGAGGCTTAATTAGAAAAACTGTACGCCTGCTTAGGGGGAGGGTCTTGGCTTGGCACAGAAGAGGCAAAGTCATTTGGCCCACTTTCTGGCAATCACCTGCTTATTACATTTGAGAAGTAGAGGTGGTCTTCCAAGGAAGAACATCCTTCATTTAATTGCCTTTGTTCAGCTTCCCCAAATCAGTGTTTTCTGCTTTTCTTTTGCGTTTTCAAAGACGGCTTCTGAGGATTCTGAAAACATTCAAAAAGATGAAGACTTGAAGCGGTAAGCCATGGTGTTCTGGTGCGAGGCTGTGCGGGCATGTTTCTTTCAACAGTGCAAGGAAATTGGTAGCCCTGAGGGTGCAAGTTCCCAACCTCTCTTGGGACGCAGTCTGGCAAATAGGATGTACTGCTGTTTTACCAGATATAGCGGGGTGGAAAAAAGATCTTGGCAGTCTCCAAACCATGGGATTGAAAATAATTGTCATTCTTTGTGCTTGTATCTTTTTTTAAAACTTAATTTAAAATCACAGGACTGCATGTATAAATATAGGATCAGAAAGGGGGAAAAAGGAAGGATTCCGTTGATCAGAGTTTGGCTAGACAAGGCATCTGGGTTTACCATAAACTTACAATCTTGAGGGAGGGGGGAAAGCGGTTTGCACCTTCTATTATACATGGAAAAAATGATCATCAAGACGGGGCGGTTTGTTAAAAAAGAAAATACTGATTTTGTTTCTGCAGAGTCATATATCTTCTTCAGCTTTACCCAGCAGATAACCAGTTAAGGATTCTTTATGAATGTGCAGTATCTGCAACATCTGTAAGTTCCTATACTATAATTAATTAACCTTTTGAAATAGTATTTGCTCCACGAGTGTCCAAAATTTGGAAGAAAATTCTAATAGTCAAATCTATGGAATAGCGAATCTATGGAGTGTGATGCAGGCCTACTTATGAATAACATTTAAAATTCGCAGCGGCTGCAGCCCCTAAAAGTAGCAAATAAAAAAAAATCAAATTCTGGACAGTTTACTTCATACCTAGAAGAATGTTCTTCCCTGTTATAACATTTACTACAATTAAAACTCCCTTTAGTCCTAAAGGGCGCTGTGGATAAGCTACAATTTGAGAAGCATACGTCCCAGGTTGATCTGCCTGTTTCTCTCCACAAACACCCACCCCATTCAATGACAGGCCGAATAAAGAGTTGGTGTAAAACAAAAAACCCCAAAAGATGTGTTATTCCTCTCTGTTTCAGCCCATAGGGGTCAACCAGTTGACCTTCGCACACAGGAGCCGAGCCCTCCAGTGTCTGCTCTTCCTGGCAGATCCAGCAGCTGTTGAATCGCTCTTCAGAAAGCCTATCAAGAAAGTCAGGTAAGGTGTCTTCTCCCGTTCGTGATGAGCTTGGTTACGTTTTCCAAAAACCCATAGGCTGGGCTCAGGCACCACGTGAAGCTGTAATCTGGGTTTTTTTCAGGGGGTGTTGGCTAGATAGCTAACTGACTGTAGGTATGAACTCTAGTTAGCTTAGAACCTGAGTTCAGTAGACTGTATTAAAGGAAATTACGGTTCAATGCAACGTGTTGATCTAGTTATTGTTGATGCCCATTCCAGAAGGCACGGGCACTTTCCCCATCCTGTTTTTGCCTCCAGCTGTTCCCCCAGGGAGTTCAGTGATGAAAGTATTATTATCTTTATCTTCCTAACAACTCGGTTCTTTGTCTGGGAATTAACGGCTGGCTTAAGGTTGCTCAGTAAAGTTTAGCCCGAGTCTCTTTGACTAGGCTGCACTGGGTGGCCACTGGGCCAACTGGATCCCAATCACGGAATATAATTTTAATGTTTTAATGGATTTTAAGAGGAGTCCACTGATACAGTATCAGGGAGGGAAAATCACTACTGTAGACTACCCCTTGCAAATTCTGGTCCTTACCTAGCTCAGTTCAACTTCTACGATGGTGTAGATGCTTGTAACCTTCCCCTATTGCTGATTCTGTCTCTTTCATTTCTGCAGAAATCAAAAGAGTCATCCATTTTACATTAACCAGTTAAGATAACTGTCTTATAAACCTCTCTTGCCATTCATACAACATTCCATGTTTCTGCTCCTTAACAGGAACTTTATGAAATGCTTTGTTTACCTCGCAGAGCTGGAAGTTCTGAATATTCCTTACACCTATGAATCCTTCCATAGGACACCGAAGGAAGGCATGATTAAAGGGCTGTGGAAAAACCACAGTCATGAACCCAAGGTGATGCTGCTGGGGTAGGGGGATAGGTGAGAGAGGAACTATACAGAATATGTATTCAGTCTGCGCTTTGCCACATTCTTGTAATATCCTGTCAGATAGGAGGGACCCACACGAGAAGCTGGCTTTCAGTAACATCACATTTGTGAGTTCGTTAGCACAGAAACAGCCATCTTTTTGTTTTCAAATTCACAGCACTGTACATGGGAGGTCAGAAACAGAAATGTACTGTTCTGACATGGCAGTCAAAGATAAGCCTTAAGACAATTAAGCCACAGACTCTATTTTAGTTTACCAATTATCGATGAACAGAAAAAAGAATCTCAAAAGTTATACATGTTTTCCTTAGGAGAAAATTTGGTTGTTGTTGGTTTTTTTTTAAATCATCCATTTTCAGGCAGTAAAACTGGTGGCCGAGCTTTGCTTGGAATACAAGGTGCATGACCCTGTGCTCTGGAATGGGTTGCTACACAAGCTAATGTGCTTCAAAATGGTAAGGCCCTTTCTTTCTTTTTTCCCGGGAAGGATTATTAAGCAGTAACAAATGCTGAGTACTCTATTGTGCTGCAGAATGAGAAAAACTATCTATGCCTGTGCAGGTTTTTAGTTGCATTTGCTTAAATTTGGTATGTTTAGAGGGGGGGCAATGAAAAAAAAAATCATTAAGATGGGCAGAGGTGTACTTTCTCTTTTTAAGAAGAAGATTATTTACATAGAGTTTTGTCACCTGCTTAGCTAAGAAAGGTTGACAATGATCAGCTTTTTCTCTCTTATAACTATTAGCTGGTTATTCTAAGTCCCTTCTAATGTTAAGAACAGCTGCCTAGATACTGTTTTCCTTTCCTTTTCTTTCCTGATCCTGTTTAATTTTTGCATTGTATAATTTTAGATTGTAAGCTTATTAGCACCACCTTCTTTTACTGACTGTAAGTTAGGTGGATCTGCATATAGGATTATTGCAACCAAAACTTGCTTAATGACTCCTCCCACACCCCCACCAAGCAGTCCAAACACTACGCAAAGGGGAAAATAACTCAGACAGGTTTTTGTGTTCAGTAAGATGCTATTCACATATTTTAATCTATTGTGTTTCAGGTCCACTATTTGAGGAAAGTTTTAATGGAGACTTCTGGCATTTATTCCTTATGGCCGGTGCGTAAATTTCTACCATGCCCAGTACAGATGCTTTCTAATTACTGCTTTCTCTTTTATTTTAATGAAATAATCATAAATTCACCAACAGAAAGGGGTTGGCAAGTTTTACAATTCACTAATTTGTTAAGTTTGTTCTCTGGCATTTTAAGATGCATTTCAACTTTCTACAGATTCCAAATTATAGCCGAGCCTGGCAGAGCGTCATTCTGGCTCCAATTCTTTCTGGTGAGCTTTGTCGTTTTGGTCTTTTTGTTAACTTCATGCCACAATCCATCACATGAAAAATGATGCTTTAAAAGAATTGATGGCATAAATCCAGAACCCCATTTGCAGACCCCCCACCCAGGCTAAAGGCCAAGAGGCGTTTCTGCACGATAACCCCCACATTATGGAACAGGTTTCTGCAGGAAACTAGCTTGGTCCCAACATTTCTGGCTTCCAGGAGCTCTTCCAAGCAGCTTTTTATTTAATTATTTGGGAGAAGGACACAGGAATCCTGCAGGAGCTCCCATTAAATTGTTGGTTTTAATGTTTGTATCATAATTATGATAATCATGCTGTGGGTGTTTTTTGTTTAAAGTTTCTGTTCACCACCCAGAGTCGTATGATCGCAGGAGTGTGGTAAGGAGTGACTCTGTAAGCACTTTGCTTGATGCAATACTTGGCTGAAACTGATTGCCAGGGTATTTGAAACAAAAAGATTCTGTGTGCAATGAACAGTTGGTTTTAAAGCCATAGAAGACGGGACCCTAAACCCCGGACCAAGGGGCCGGAAAGGGAGTTGGATAAACTCTGGAAAGGGAGTGCAGGATACCAAGAGAAATAGCAGCCCCTCTGTTCTGAGCAGGGATATCTGCAGACCAAGTGGGTGAGCTGCTGAAGCGACTGGTGTTTCCAGGCATCTGCTTCTGGACTTCCTGGGGGGCTCTGATCAGCCACTGTGGGAAACAGTCTTAGAGCGGAGTTACTTCTCTCACCATGGAGATCTTCTCCCTTTGCACCTCTTTTTGTTTTTAAAGCTTTAGGTCTGCCAGATCCTGATCAACTGGAAGACTGTTGCGGGACTTTCAAGACACTACTGATGTAAGCAGAAGAACATTCTGGGGGGGACAACAAGATATAAAATGTTTGTAATAACTGAAAATGGGGAGAGAGATTCCATATGCAAGAATGTGACGGAATGGATCATTTCATTTCTATCGTTTTTTTTACTGCGCTCCTGTGTAACACATTAGTACACCTAACACGGCAGAAAACAATGGTCCTTTATCTGTGCTCCCCTGTCTCAAACACTGTCAGTAATAAAAAGTGAGCTGTTCTTGGTCAGCAGACTCTTTATCTGCCAAGAGTTGTTAACATATGGGAACATTTTTTAAAAAATCCAGTTTCATCGCCTCTTTGCAGTCCCTTTTATGACTTCAGTCAGCTGCCCATGGAAAACAGGGTTATGATAAAGCAAAGCAGCACAAGCGAGAACTCAAAGCAGCAGCTTTTCTGCTTAGAGATCTTTGGCTGGTTGATTATCCTGTGGCAAGACCATAGCTAACGTAACCATTTCCCGCCTCCACAAGGTGTCCAGTCCTGGCAGATCTGGATTTAATGGGGATTGCGAAGCGGTACACCCAGCTAGGCCTGGTGGCTTTGGCTTTAGGGTGCCTTCTGCTGATTCCGCAGCTGGAGAAAAGAGCCCAACAGATTCAGGCGAGTGACGAGATGCACATCTTCCCCACCGGGCGCCTCTCCTGATGGGCGGCGATCGCAATTCCCAGACTCTTGACATTCTAATGTCGTGAGATCCAAGAGCGCTTCCATAACGTGACGTGATTTCGTAGGGAGTTTGAAGAGAACTGACCCTGTTTTCCCACTCCAGGGCTTCCTGTCCTCATCTGACCTCGAGCTGGTACTGCAGCAGACGGAAGAGCACCTGAGCCTGGGGGAGGCCGCTGGTGTTGCTTCCCAGGTGGGATCCTGCCCCAAATTCAGGCCGAGGGCGACCTGGCAAGACAGCTCATCTCGCAGAGCTGTAGCTTGTGTAACTTTCCCGCTGCTTTGCAGGTGAGGAGTTTAACCCTGGACTACATCCTCCACGAGGCAGAAAAGGACTTGGCAGAGGTCAAATATTTCCCGTTATTAAAGTTGCAGGAAAGGCGTCCTGGCCAAGTGAAAGGCCTGGTTGAGAAACTTGTAGCGAAGAACAGGTAGGCAAAGGGAGAATTCCTGGATTTCTTGCTCTTTCCGTTCGGTTTTTGTACGGGAGAGGAAAGGACACATCTGAAGTCACTGCTCCCCAGTTCTTTATTAGATTTATATCACGCCTTTCAGTCAGAAGCTCGGGGCAGTGGACTTCGCACTCCCCCCACTCTTTTCCCCCTACAATATGGTATGTACCAAGTTAATTCACAGCTGTCTGGGGAATTTTTTTCTGGGAAGCTTAACTTTCCTATAACCCCTAAATTATAATCAAGGAAAACAGAGGGCTCTTCTGTGGAAACGTCTGTTTTTCCTCCCTTTGCCTGGGCCAAATTAAGATGTCTACTCCTAACCCCTTGCCTGCTTCTTTCGTGGCTATGCAGAATGGATGACGCGGCATCTCTGATAACAGAATATCTTCAGAAATCTGAGACCCCTCTCCCGCCAAGACAGACCGCTTCTGAGGTTGTGAAGGTACTTAATTGTGCATTTTAGAACACCCTGAAAGGCCTATTCAGAAAAATCGTGCTATTCTACTGTTTTTCTGCCAAAAAAGCCCCACCTTGGCTAAAATTTCTTAGAATCTTCCTGGTTGTCCAACCCAGTAATTGGTGAACTATTTTCTTGGTGTATGAGAAGCCTCTAACAAAAGATTAATACTCCCATCGCCCGGGAAAAGCAAGGATCGCATGATTCAGATTTTGCTCTTGCTTTAGAACTCATCAATTTCACTTTGCCTTTTGCTCAGAACAAAAACTATTATTTGTTGTTGTTGTCATAATCTCGTTATAACATTATTCTAAAGGAAATTTATCTTTATTTCTTGGAAGGGATCTTACCTTGGTAACTTTTTATCCCCCTCCAGATGTACTTCAGTGAGCTGGCACAAACTCTGCGGTAAATCCCCAAAGAAGATGATCCTTTCTCCCCCCCCCACTTTTTTCTGCAGGACAACATTGTCAGGATATATAAAACGTATGATTTTAATCCCAATTCTACATGTGAGACTAACTTTATCAATATGTCATTTCTCTCGGTATATGTTAAAATTATCACACAAAACAGATGCCCACATTTCATGGGTGTTTATAGAAAATATTTTTGGCAAACTCACTCTGTATCCCTTTGAGAGTCCCACACTATAATAGCTATGAAATGGTTTTATATAAGGAGAAACACAAATAAATCTCCATGTTTTAATAATAAATAAAAATAAATAAATAAATCCATGAAAACATGGCTTCCCTGCTCTTTCATTGACGTTTAAGGCATAAATCAGTCTTGCCCACTGAATGCTCTTTAAATTAATGCTCTCCAAGCCGCAGACCAACATATCTGAAAGGCAGCAGGATGGGAAGCCTGCCATAAATAACGTTAGCTTTATCAAATTGAAATTGAACAAGTATTTATTACAAGACTGGGAACAGTTCACATGAACAGGCAGAATTCTGCTGTGCGCTTTTGAGTAGTATTTACAAGCAGGAGCCACTTTTGGGGCCAAAAATTTTTTTAAAAAAAGCCAAGCCAAGGCAGACTTTGTCAGAAGTCGAGGGTTGTAAACTTAGTTGCCTACGACAGGGTAAGAGAAGACATCTCATAAACTCACAAGACTGCAAACGCTGCGGACCGTTGGGTGCATGTTGCAAAAAGAGAGACTGGAAAATGTTAGGCGAGGACAGCTTGCTTTTAAGACTTCTTGTACTCGATCCTTTCTACTTTCACATCATCGCCAATCAGTTGATAAACGTAGGTAACCACCGTGGAAGCCTGGATATCCATCAGCACGAAGGAAGGGGTGATGTTGCTGGGAAAGGAACGGGAAAAGACCACCTGTTATTTTGTCAACAGCCTCGGGAGCCGGGGTTGTGGGTCTGACCCACGGTGAGCTGAGAGCCCCACTGACTTCACTTGAGGAGTAGGGAGGAGCAGGGTGCAGAACATTTATGCCTGGGAAACCTGCAGCCCCACAGATGTTAGCCCAGCCAGCATGGCTAGCAGGAAGGGATGGTAGAGTTGTCCTGCCCTACAGAATTGGAGGGGTCGCTCTATCCTGTTGACTTCTTCTAGCAGCAGTCTAACCCCTCCCCGTTAGGCATAATCCAGCAGTTTACAGCTGTGGCTCTGCTGCCTTTCAGCACCTTCCTAGGTGCATCACGAAAGAAAGGTTTTAGGAGTTGCACCTACTAGCATCAAGTGACTATGAACTGAAGTATCTCCACACCTCTTTTAAGAAACAATCCAAACCGTGGCACTCTCACCAAAAGAAAACACATTTTAATTAATAATCTTATTATAGCCTCAGCCATTTCAGTCTCAACGGCACGAGATCCACGCTAGGGAGCAATTTATGAAATGAAAGAATTCCTAACATAAGGCAGCTTAGGCATTTGGATTTGGCAGCCCAGGTGGGGGCAGAATTCCTGCAAATGGTAAACCTCTATAACCAGGGACAAGAACTGAGAATTTCATATTATTCAAGCTGTAATGCAGCCTTTCCTAACCTGATGCCTTCACAGACCCACTAGGAATTCAGCTCATCCTTATCTCCAGGGCATCAAGGCAATCCCTGTGTCAACAGTACCTTGTGATGTATAACTTACTTTTCCAAAGCGCTGTAGGCTCCTGTTGCTGACCCAGGGTTAATGTAGAACTTATTTTCATGTTCAAATGCCTCAAATTTGTGTGTGTGCCCTGAAATCAGGATGTCGACGTCAAACTGCCTCTGCAGCAGCGCAAGGCTGGCCACATCACCCCAGGGAATCACTTGATGGCCGTGGATCAGCCCGATCTTAAATTGTCCGACGGTTACCACTTTCTGTTCAGGGTAGTTCAAGTTCTAGGATTGAAGACACAGCATGAAAATGACACAAGCAGAAAAGCCCTTTGCCGTTATTCTCTTACACTATTCCAGAGGAAAATGCCATCTTCAATTCTGACAAATCTTCAAAGAACTGCATTCTACCGTGTAATGAACGAGCAAAAGTGGGTAAACCAGGACATCTCCTGGTGAATGCAGACAGTAAAGAAGAGGACCTTGATAGAAATATGCAGGAACTGTTAGCGAGACAAAGGGGGCTGAAGCATTCCTTAAGTCCTGGGTTATAAGATAATATCTGGAAGCAGCTCAGGCAGACACCTCCCTAATCCACTGAACTACAAAAGGGGGAGGAGGTGCAGCACAAACTGGCAAAATTCTGTTGTTATAGCCAATCTCAATAAAATAAATTTTAACTTTCCCATGAAGTTGATTACCTGGTCTGGTCCATTTAGTAAGGCTGACAGTGAATGATAAGAAAACAGTAATGCGAGCCTACATACGCAAGGGCTTGCAGAATATATACGGAAGAAAACTAGTTCAGCCATCAGGGATAAAGAAGAGCTTGATAAAATGCCCAGAGAGAAATCCCAGTGCGCAGCAACCTCATTAAACGTCATTACCTCATCAAAATCTCCTCTAACGACGTGAACGTCACCAGCCAAGGTCTTGAGGTAGTCATAGCTCTCCTTCGTGCAGAGGTTCCCGGTGCAAAGAATGTGCTGGATTTTCCCTGGAACCAGCAGCTTTTTGAATTTAGCTGGCAGGCTGTTACAGCGGTGAGGAATATGAAGGTCTCCCAACACTAACACCAACTTACGACAAGAGAGAAAGGCAGAAGGGGCACTTAGGTTCTGGCACACATCTACAAACTTTCCAGCACTGGAGAGTAATATGAAACGTAGCTCAAATCAAGGCAGACCTGCTAATTTCTAGAAGAGCATTTCCAAATCCTGTTGCAATTGGGTATTTATTTAAAAAAATATATATAAACTACTTGGATTCCACTGCAGATAAAATCATGACAATGATGATATATTAGACTGGAGGAAAGTAAAAATAATGATTTAATCCAAATTGTTTCTTTGAATTAAAAAAAAAAATACAGGCAACTTGCTCCAGTTTTATTTTTCTTCCAGTGTACAACCATTTGACTAAACACGCATGAAGCTTGGGTTAACTGCAAGTGAAAACTTGCAAGAATTGTATATAGCTGCTCTTTCAGAAAAAATCTCAAGCTCTGAAGTTTTAAATACACGCCTTTTGCCCCACAGGCCAGTAAAGAAAGCAACTCCTGCAGGCTTGAGAATTGGCCCTGGGCCCCACTTCTGCGCTCAGTTGCCCTCTGATGAATTATTACAGGATTCCAGAAGGAAGCCTGGGTGTTTGCACCCCATGCATTTTCACGAGTGTACCTTGCTGGTTGGCTGTGCCACTGCTGGGCAGGTTGGCAATCCCCAACTTTCTGCCTTTCCACGATGGCAGCTGCCAACAGCATGGCTCTAGGGTTGGCTTCACTGAGGGAGAGGAGATTGTGCCTTGAGGATCTAGGGCACTATTTCTCAACCTTGGCAACTTTAAGATGGGTGGGCTTCAACTGCCAGAATTCCCCAGCCAGCAAGAGTTAGAGCAAAGTTATCAAAACAGTGCAAGGCTTTTGACATCATCAGCCATTGACCAGATACTGTTCTTTAAATGGGATTCTACCCTTTAAAGCAGCCAAAAGAGTTGTCACCTACCACCACCACCACCACCACCACCGTCAGCAAGAGGCCAAGATGAACAAACTTACTCTGTGCCCAGCCTTATTGGATGAAGAAGTTGATTGCAGACAAGAGCAAAGGGTGGGGCAGCGGGGGTGGAGATGGGAATGGAAAAAAACGGGTGAGACATGAACAGTGTTAAATAAAAAGAAAGCAACAGAAAAGGAAACATCTCAAGCCAAATTAATAGGCAAATCATCAATGAAATCTGAATGTTAGCAAAGGAAATGTTAAAAATAAATCTGATTTATGCAAGTAATGCCATATGGATTATCGAAACAGCTTCCCCAGCAGTTTCCTGTTTTAACCCCCCATTGTTATTCTATAAATCACAAACGTTTTGCATATATATTTTACAATCTACCAGAGCAGAGCAGGTATGCAAGTTCCAATGTGTTACTCTGGACTCTTCGCCCACAAAGATTTCTGCTCATTTTAGCGATGGAAAGGGTTCTTTGTGTAGCAAAGCATGGGATGGAGCTGATCCAAAATATCCTGAACAAATATAATGAAACATGCTTATGATTTCCATACAGCTGTCAAGTGAAAAACAGGACCTGGGAGATTAAACTATGAATAAACATAGACATCTGTTTAGATCACATTTTCTAAAAACCAGCTTTTAGCTTGCTTGCTGTTTCACTCCACTTGGGATTTTAAGGATCATGAGAACTCATTCCAAATTTACTGCTAGGGCTCTTGGAGCTGATACCTCATTTCTGTTCAGAGAGATGGACGGGGAGAGTGCTGAAACTTCATCCTCAAGTTCAGGCATTCTTATTCTTCTGCTGGGATCTTAAGATTTTACCAAGCATTGCTGCAAGCTTTTCAAGCTTCTTTGCAGCCATAAAGGCTAAAAACTGTCTTGTTTGTATATGAAAATTCTCAAATGACTGACACCCAAAATTAGTTTCACACTTTTCTGATATTCCCAGAGAATGTCTGCAAACATACACATAAACTAGCCTTCCTGAACCCTGCAGAAGCTAACCAGTTCTTATCCTATACAAAATGTTGCTATAATTGCTACAGCATAAGATGGATCCCACTCACCCCATGAACAGCTTAATGAATAAAAAAGGACTCAACTGCCTTTTTGCAATTATGCTCTTTCACGGATAAAATTTCCTGTACAAATAAATAGTGGCCCTTATTTTTGCTTCTCATCATTACAGTATTTCCACCAGAGAATTTCCCTATTATGACGTTACACATGGTGGCTCATTTCACAGATTCATCATAATACTTCCCAGGGTTAGCCAAGCACCATCATGATAGATAAGTTATTGCCTTACATATCATGAAAGCAGGTAAGTTACGTCGTGCAGGCAGATCATCAGAACCACTATGAAGGTGAAGCAGGAAAGCCAGAAGATAAAGGGAAACCACTGGATCTCATTCTTATTGCAAAATTCACTGAGATATTATTAACTTGACAAGAAAATGACTCAGGACACAGTATCACACATTCATTATTTTAAAATGCCAAACAGTTGTAAATGATGTCCAAAATTAGACTCCCTGCAAAATCTAAGCAATAAGCAACACTGAAACCAAAGGTTCAGAATTTAGAATTAGTGTGCAATTGATTTGAGGGCAAAGGTCTATCCTTCTCTTTCCTAATTTGTTTCAATTTGTTTTTCTGAAGAAGCACCAGTACACTGAAGGTGTGAAACTCCATTCCCCCAAAAGAAAAACGTAAAGTAAATCAACTAGCTGGGAATAACATAATTGAAAATAAGAAGCAGAAAGAATATTGTTGTTGTAGGTACTATTATTTCAGCTGCATCTTGCCTTTCTACTCAGAAGCTCTCAAGGAATAATAGTAACTGTTCCAGAAAATGATCTGCAGCACCAATCTTACCCAACCGAACCTTTAGGGAAAGCCAAAGTGCCACACTGAAACTGTGATACACTGTACAGATATTACATTTTAATACGCAACAAATTACAAGCACCAGAGTTTTGGCCCCTGAAATTAAAACGGAATTATTTCTGCAACAGGAGCACCTGAATGAAAAATAAGATAGACATCAAGTAAGTAAGTAAAAAACTCCTTTAGCAGGTTTTACCCTTTAGCTCTGTGCAAGCTACACTGGCTTTCCCTGATTGCACACTTCCCAGAAACTAGGCACGGTGGCTGACGTTTGTGGGAACAACACTCCCAAAGGATCCAAGGGGGCACCACTTTGGGGAAACCTACACTCTGCGCTATCAGCAGAAGCCACGAACCAGCATCGCAAACCCGACAGGACTTGCTGGCTGCCCAGTCACTCAATCAACCGTTTGCAGCTGTGAGAGACACTGAAATAATAGAGTGAATTCACGGCACGACCCGTTGGACTAGGCTGCCTTCACCCAACCGCCTCCCCCCCCCCCCCCCGCCAACCTGGTTAGCGTCACCCTCAGGAAGGCTTTCTGCAGCCAAACGCGTTCTGCGGCACCCCGGGCCTTCCGGGTTCGTTTGCCGCTCCAGGCATCGGGCGAGCCCAGAAAAGGGGCCCCTTCGGGGCGTTCAGCACCCTGGGCAGAAAGAGACGCCAAAGCCGGGTCCGAGCCGGAAGCCAAAGGGACGCTTATCGAGAGCGACTTCGCTTCGCTATTTCTGGAGAGGGCCGAACTGGAGCGACAGCGGCGTCCTCTTCCCGGGAGCCGCCGTTCAGTACAAGCAGGGCCCAGGTACGGCCTGCAAAAGCCCTTCTCGATTCGGGGCCGCACCAAAGGGCTGAATTCGTGGCGGGAGCGGGTTTGACCAGGGGCCTCCTGGCAGCTCGGACTTCGGCCGCCCAGCCCGGCGCCCCCCCGCGAAGAGCAAGGGCACGACTGCCCTGCTGCGACCCCCTCATGCCTGGTGGGGATGATGGGAGTCGTTGTCCCACGCATCTGGAGGGGCCCCGGGATGGGCAGCGCGGCCGTTACAGCCCCGGGCAGCGAGGGGACCCCGGACTGGGCTTCAACGCCACCCCCCGGCCCGTTCGGCCCTCACCTTCCTCATCACCCCCCTCCCAGAACGACTCACCATCTTGGCCCCTTCAGCGCCGCTCCTTCAGACCCCCTCTCCGCCGCTTCCGGTGAACCAAACCCAGAATTCCGGAAGTACCGACTACGGAAGGCGAGGGGAGACAAAAGCGCCCACTACAGTATGAGAACGCGGGGCGTCGCCCCTGTCAGCCTGGAATGTAGAGGTCTTCATCACATCCGGGGATTGCAGCCTTTCATCTGCGGCGCTGTCGAGTCGCCGAGGGCACGCCCAGCAAGGGTGGAAGGGACAAGAGCAGGGCACCTCGCAACAGCTTAGCACGACGGTGTGCAGGACACCCTCATCGTACGCCGCTTAGTCAGGTGAAGGATGATGGTAGTTGTAGTCGAGGCTGGGAAAGAGTGCTTGCGCTAACGGCCCCGCATATGGCGGCGTCGCAAGGGAGCCGGAAGTGTCGGCCCCTCAGAAGACGGGCCCTTTCCCCATCGCTCCGCCCTCTAAAGTCCCGTCCCGTCTGAGTTCTCGCGATATTTGTGGCAGTCTGGATTTCCCGCTTTTTCTTGCCGGCCAGTCACGAAGCGTTCAGACGTTTCTCCAGACACGCTTGTTTTGGAGGGCCGCTTGGGGTGGGCGCTCAGCCGCCCTTCCTCCCATTATGAAGTGTGTCATTGGGGGCGCCCGTGTCAGAGGTAGAGCAGCCCGAGGCTTCAGGGGAAAAGAACAGTTTAATCCTGGCTGGACGGCGAGGCCCTGAAAATCCAGCCTCGCAGCCCCGAAACGCAGTTAGACGAGCAGCAGCGCGTGGGACGCGGAAAAAGAAAGAAACGCAGACAGTCCGCTCAGATGCGAAGCCCCAGAGCCATGTGAATCCAGGGCTTCGCCATCCTTCGTGTTGCACGCGCGTTGTACACGCGCGTGCAACAGGAAAGCCCTTCTGGGATCCTCAGGCGCGATTTCTGTGTCAAAAGGCAAACCTCGCCTAGAACAAAACTTCAGGATTTCCTTAGGAAACTCAGGCCCACTTTTTTTTTTGAGTATACATAACCGTAACCAGCAGATAAAGTGCGGCCAAAAGTACAGCAGTGCTGACAAAATCAGGAAAAAAAGGACACGGTCATGGAATGAGTTTAGATCGTGGGTCTATTTTAAGGCGATCAGTTAAGATGGTCAAAATTTCTCCAGAGCTGAATTCAGAAAGTAATAGCAGTCAGGCATTCCCCGCCAGCTTCTTTGTCGGGCAGCGCCTAAATGTAATAAGTCCCTTGCACGATTCGGTTTAGCTAAAACTAGGGCTCGTCGCTACCCGAAATGGCTTGTATCGTCTGCCCAGGGAGGGACTCACGCTTCTTCCCAAATCTTCCCTGCAGTGTTCGGAAGGGCTCTGCAAGCCATTGCAAGAATCAGCGATGAATTTTGGATTGGCCCCGAGGAAAAAGGAGTGAGTAGATCTGAGTCCCAGAGCTTGGAACTAAGTAATGAAGCACAGGGGAAATGCACCATAAATGGCCACACAAGGCCGTAGGTACCCAGGCATCCTTTGTTAATTAAGAGAAATCACTGTTCATATATGTATATACACACACACACTCCTGATATTTGTCCAAAATATCCTAGGATTTCCACCATTAAGTAATAGGAAGAGGGTTGAGAGACACGCGTTGCGAAATCCAGTGTTTTTCCTCATACCGTCTGGAAAATCCTAGCACAGTATAACAAAGTTAACGGTTGATTTTGTGTTTGTGCAGTTAGGATGAAACAATCTAACACCTCCAAATGTTACCATATTGTGCATGTTTTGCTTATCTGTAACTTGGAACTGCTACAGTTAATACAGATAAATCATTTAATCCTCTCCACAGCTTTTCCTGAGGACGGTAAATAGTTCTAGGTCAGCCTATGCTTGTGTCTTCTTTTCATCTATGTTCTTCCAAAACTATTCCTATAGAAATGCAACTGAACTGAGCCTGAACGGGAACACTGTTCAACTCGCATGTAAATTAATAATAAAAGTAAGTTTCAACCAGTTGGACAAAATGCTGTTTTATGCTACAAAAATACAGTTCCAATTCTATTTAGTGAAATACATGGAGAAGCTATATGGGATCAAATGCATACTTTACCTAAAATGTATCTTTGGTCAGTGTGTACTTTTCTTCGGGCAAAAAGAAAAAAAGTTTTATTGCAGCTGATAAAACTTGAGAAAAATGTATATCACTTTCTAACATTAGTAATCCGAGAAAATAATACTCTAAAACTACACAAATAAATGACTGTGCCTAAGAAAATGAGCTGAATCACACAGTCAGCTACCTGCTTCACTCCTTCACATCAACAATGTCCACGTAGCTGAATTTGAGTTCACAACCTTGTGTCAAGGGTGACAACTCCCTTTCCATTGCTTCCAAGTGCAATCTTGAAGCATGATGCCATATGTTAATGTTTTAATACTTTTTAACTGCAAGATTATCCAGTGATCATTATTTTTGCTCAGGAAATCCCTGCACTCATACTGTTTTTTATTTCAGGCAATCCTGCCTTTATTTCGATGCTTACACACACTGGAAAGAAATGTAGAAAAATGCAACATTTATACAGACTTTAACGATTGCCATATTGTGTTTAAGCTGTTCTGCAAACATGGTAAGTCAGTAGTTAGCACATGACCTTGTAAGTCTTACATGGCCTAAAGGCAGCATTAAAAATGTTATCAGACAGGATCTGAAGAACTCCACCTTTGCTTTGGATTTGAGTTTTTTGACTCTGGAATTTTCCAAGGAAGTCTCTGTGCTATCCCCAAAATTATTGAATGCCTGAAGGGAGCCTGTGGATTTTGTCTCAAATTAACAAATAGGTAAATGAAGCTGTCTGCTGGATTTGAATACTCTGAAAAGCTTTCAAGATAAAAATGGGGCACCTTACCCGCACTGGGATTAAACTAATCAACAGCATTTGCTTCAGGTACACATTATTGCATGTACTACAGATGGGTCAGGTGGCACTATTTTTTAATTAAGTGTGCATGCTGTGGAAGCAATTCCTAGAAGGAAAAAAAAAACCTAGCCCCTTTGAAAAATTAAAAGTATGCTTTGTGTATGCTGTCCACCAGAGAGCAACAGGTGCCCTCTTTTATTACCACAGGTCTGCAACAGAGCTGGGTGTTAAATGTTATGAAAACCAGATGATTGATTTTGCTACATTAAGAGTAAGAGGTGGTGCGCAGAAAGTCACCATTTCATAAAGGTTCTTTTAAATGGATTCCTGGGGCAGCTGCTGAATTCTGCTCACGGGCTAAAACCGTGGCTCTGCGTCCTCCCGCACAGAAGGATCCAGAAGGTCGTTTCACCTTCTGAGCACAGGTTCTTCCGTTTCCTTCTCTGCCTACATGGCAGATACCATTTTTAGCATACCTCCTCTTTGCACGATGTTGCAGTAAAAATATCCTGATCAATTTCTTTCACATTGGTTTGTGGTAGCCCGCAAAGACATGCTGATTTCAAACCGTATCTTTTTCAATCAGGTGTCGTGAAAACTCATAGCTTAGCTTTCCAGGAATGTGAACCTCTACAAGCTGTATTTGCAAAACATTTGTGCACCAATATACTGAAAGTCCAGCCAAGGTAATATAATATGCGTATTAGCAATTCGCCTAATGTTTTGGATATGAATGGTGGTTTGTCACCAAAGGGATCTCGGCCTTATTAATTCAGACACGAAAAGGGAATTCTATAGGAGCTGCCAGATGTTAAGTGCTTAATTTCCTCCTGTTGTATTTTCTCAGAAGACAGGCTTTGAAGGAAGAATTCTATCAGCAGGATATGCAAAAGTAACAGATCAGTTTTGACCAATCGCTATCTCCACTTAAGGGAGAAGGAATATGGGGTAAACCAGATGTTGCTCCTACTTCAGACAGGACTTAATTGTGACCTCCATTAATTTTACACTAGCCCTTGGCTTCTTTATGACATTGGCTTGGGGAATGTGAGAAAAGAGGGGAAGATTTGGTTGAACCATCTGGTTTAACCTTTTACCTAAGATGATGCTGTGATCATCTAACTTGGATAGGGAAGAATTCAGAGAGTAAACGGCATTAATCCTCAGCATGCTGAATTTCCTTTTAGGAAAGTAAAAACTGAGGTGCTCATGGACAGCAGAGAGAAAGAGCAATTTGTAAATTGAATTAATTACCAGGTTTTTGTACATTTCAGGCAGCTGTCTGACATGCTGATCCACTTTCCGACTTATCAGGATGAAATAACTTTAGCTGTAACACCAGTGAAAGTTTGCTTCAAGACTTATACAGAGGATGAAATGGGTAAGGATTATGCTTCCATGGTGGGATTAAAGATACCATATTGAATTTGTAATATTTTTATACATTTATTTATACATTCGATTTATTGTCTGCCCATCTCCCCCCAATGGGGAACTCTGGGGAATATCTTAAATGCAAGAAGGTATGGTAAGAAAAATGTCTTGATGTGGTTGTGACATGGTTTATTATATAATTAAATAATGTGCTCATACCTATTATACAACTATTTTTTTTCCAGAAAATATTACGTGCCATTGAAATCAGAGAAAAATCCAGCACATTAACTCTTTGAAGTTTATGGACTTTTGAGTTCAGTCAACAGTTGTTTTGCTGTTGGTCTATTAAATATTCGAAAAGCAGAGAACTGAAAAAACTTTTTAAAAAAAGAGCTATATTGTAACTGTTCACTTTATAAACAGTAGCCAGAATGAAAGAAACATTCAAAATTACCCTGATAATGGTACTCATATTTGCTACAAATTGATAGAGTTAATTCATTTTATAGGTGGGAGGCTGTCAAATACTTAGGCACTTAAATTCAGCATATCCGATTTGTTTGATCATATGCATAGAGTTTAATTGTTATGGTCCATCAATATTTTTTTCTGATATTTGGAATGGTTACGCATTGACTTCACAGGTAGTATTTTTAGGCATACAGTAGGTGGAGGCTCACGTATTACCACACTTTGGATGGACATGGTCAACAGCCCTGTGCTGTATGCTAACTGAATTTTTATTAACCATTTCCAAGGATTCTCAATAAAGCTGTGTTTTTAAACATTATTTTTAATCTCCGTCATTCTTATTTCAACAGAATTTACAAAGGCAACACATACAGAAATTCATCTCAGTCCTGAAGAATTTGAATATTTTCAGGTTGGAGTAGATTCTGAAGTCACATTTTGCCTTAAAGAGCTACGGGTAATGTGGCTAATTATGTTGTCTTGACTGTGGGATACTTCAGGATTAGGAATGACATGAATACCTGCTAGAGAGAGTCGTATGGGACACAGTATTAGCAAGGGAGGGGTGTTAGAACAAATGCCATTCAGATTGCCGCTCTTGCATCAGAGTTCAGTATCCCATGTAACCCAGCATTTTATACGCAGCCATGGCTAGACAAAAGTCTCCAGATAGCCCATAAATCTAGTAATAAACGCTGCAGTGGCAAGCATTAGAATTAATACTATCTCCTTCTCTTAGGGAGCTGAGTTAATTCCCATCTTTCACTTGTGTTTAGGGTCTTCTGGTGTTTGCAGAAGCTCTCAGTGCCCCAGTCTCCATTCATTTTGATGTTTCTGGAAAGTAGGTAGTTGTTTTTCTTTTTTAAGGAAGCAGTCCAATATTTTACCACCTTGTTTTAAAATGCTAAAAGCTTAGCAAAAGTAGATTTAAAATCGCTTCAACTGTCTGTGAAGATGCATTTTGTATACAAATGCATTTATGCAGGATTTATGGAATAGAAATGCACTTCTAAGGATTACCCTACAAGTGCCATACAAAATCCATGTGTAATACGAATAGAGGAGTATGCACGCTGATGATGTGACAGCACACAGTGAAGGCAGCTTGCAGTCAGTGAATGAATAATTGAATACTAATAAGGAACATTGTTATGTCATGCTAAAATGGATTGGCAGGCTATAATTCAGTCAGGGATTGGGGGAGTTGGAATATGACTGCAGTTTAAGGAACTCCTTTATTCCATTTGTGTATGTGTGTGTGAAGAGGACAAGCCCATGCATAAATGCAGATTCTAAGTAGCCGTGCCTCTTAGCATAACCTGACTTTTGCATTTCAAGGCCTGTTGCCTTCAGCATTGAAGATACGGTCATAGAAGCCATGTTTGTTTTGGCCACTTTATCTGATTTTGAAAGCTGGACAACTGTTAGTCAACCAACACACCTTGCACAAGGCCAAAACAGGTAATACAATTTTCAGATTGATTGTAAAATACTCCATTTTAAATAAGGAGCCTCTCTCAATATGTAGGAGAGGAGAGGAAAAGTCACGTTCTCGGGAATGAAGTTCCTAGAAAGGTATTTTTGCCCTCATCAGAAGTGTATTCCAAGCAGCCGTGTGCATTTCAGGTTCTGCGGGCAGCCAAATCATGCTTTTGGCAGGTCTGCCACGTTCCAAAGCGTAACCTAGATGTGAGAAGTCCCTCAGAGTGATCTTAGGGGCAAATTATTTATTTTGTCCAGTCAAATGCAATTAGAAATAATAATTTAAACTCCTCCCCAACCTGATCAGCCAAGGCTAGATGTGACTGGATGCATAGGAAGACCCCCGAAACAGCCGGCAGAGTTTGTAAATGAGGATGTAGTGAGCAACTTACTTAGCAAAGCATCTGGGAGGCAGAGGTGAGCCTGCCTGCATCTCTCTGTTGATCCTGTGCCCTTGCCTGAAGCAGAAAAGGCTTGCATTTGCAAATCTCTCTCTCTCTCTCAAGGGGGCTGTCAGATCATGCCAACTTCTCGCCCAAGTAAGGTACATACCAGGCGTCTGCAGGTCATCCCTTGCAGCAGGAAGAAGATAATCTTAGAGCAGGCCCCAAGGAGCAGTTTGAGGTCCACCAAGGCAAAGCTCCAGGCCAAATCGTCTAAAACCACTGCAGAGAAACCCCTTTGTTGGAAGGGAAAATTATACCGCTGATCCATCTTTATGGCATTTTAGGAGCCCTGCATTAGAGAGGAGTGATCGAGACATCAGTTGCAGCAGCACATCCACAATTCCATCAGAGGGCTTTTCCACGGGAGAGGGACGGTTACCACTGGATCCCAGTTATAATAAGGCAAGAGAGAAACAGCTATTTTCAGACTTCTCTCCCCCAGAGCGGGATGCAGTTATTTCAGTTTACGCGACATGCCTCTTGGCTTTCACAGGCAACATTTCAGGTAGTACCAGGACCTGCCAGTGGAAGGCAGGGAGCAGAATCAAGTTGCCTTTGTGAAATTGATCCAGTGATTCTCTTATCCTAACAGCTAATGAATTGGCTGGAAATGGTGGGAAAAGGGAGAGTTGCAGAGAACTGAGGAGTTTGGCATGGCCCTGCGGTACTTAAAAATCATTCCCAGATTCAATGCAATCCAGTTCCTGTATCCTGCTTTGATACAGCAGGATTTTTTGCTACATGTAATTTGACCTTACAATACGCAGTATTTCAGGGTTTTACTCAAGGTACCTTTATTTTTTTTCTAGTTTCATTCCTTGTTCTTTGGAGCCGTTTCACCTAGTGAGCAAAGTGGTGCTAATTTACTTTGCAGTTTGGCCACAGTAAGTGACACAGAAGAGGATTGTGGCGATAGGCAACTCTCGCCGACGTTTTAACAGTAGAAAATGCCTGTTGGCAGAGCGCAATTTAATGTCATCAAGTAGTCTTGTGTTTGGCATACAGGAAAGTGGAACTTTTGCTTATTTTAGGTGCTTGTATTAAACCGATGCTATTGCTTTCTATTTTCTCAACTGTTACTAGTTTTTTTACTAATGTTATTTTATCTTCAACCTATCAACAGTGTAATTTTTTTTAGAATACTTCAGTTAGATATGGCTGAATACATTTGAATAAAAAGTAAGCACTTTTTGCCCTACGTGTGCGTGATCTTCAGTGCCATTCTTTTAACATGGGAAAACTTGGGGGATCCAGGGCTAAGGTACAATTCTGTAGGTTTTCCTAAAATCAGCATATTACAATAAACTTGAAAATATTGCAGGATGTATCCTGTGTACTGCAGCAATCAGACAATGTTTCAGAAGCGTGTTCAGCCCTTCCGTCCTCTCCCATCATGTCAAGATGCATTTGGCTGTTTCAGCCTTTCTCACAGGCAGTTACCCACAGCAACCTAACAAAAAGCAATTAATCACACACTGCTGCAAGGCTCTGTCCTTAAGATCTGCTCCAACTCCTCCAGTGAAGGAGAATGAGGCTGCTTTTGAAGCAAAGTGAAACAGCTAGCACAAAATGGAGAACTCAATTTCTCTAGCAGCATTGCACTTATTAACGCCCCCAAACATCCATAAAATGCTTTTCTAGAAAAGCATTTGCTACTTTGCCCCTTCCATTGAATTCCTCATTATAGAGAGATTTTAAAAATTAATTTTAGTGTCTCACTGTTGCTGGGTACATGACCCACCAGGAACGACTTCTGCCCAAGACTGTGTAACAAGCAGATATTGTACAAAACATCACTACAGTCATCTTATATTGCCACACAACATAGCCTGTTTGAGCAATATGAAATATGTTTTTATGAATTCACCTAGTGGAAGGGACTAAAAGATAGACATATATCCTCGGAATATCTCTTCCTTGGCCATCAGAGGGACCATTTTGAGGCCTGATGATCTAAATAGAAAACAAAGACGTAACTGCAACAGAGCCGTTGCCTGAACTTTACAACCACAACTGGTTATTACAGTCACATTTAAAGGAAGCTCACGTATTGTATAAATACTATATTTATTAAATAACTTTACAGTTCATTTAAATGTATTTATAGATACTATTCTTGCACAAATTATACTTCAGACATTCAATTCACGTAATTTCCTTTAGGTAAGTACAGGTCACGATAGTCTCATTTAACAAGAAAACAGCATCCTCATTAGATAAGCTATCCTTGTCAGAAAAAAAAAATGCAAAAATCCATGTCTGGTTTCCCACGGGAAAGAGCAATTCCGATCACAGTTATCTTTTATCTTTGTTTCCACTGTGGACGGCTTTTATCCATATCCAATTCAGTCCCAGGTTTTGGACTGGTTTTCCTATTCAGTCTTTGCTGCAGAAAAAGTAACCTGGTGGGAGCAAAGCTGGATCCAGAGTGGCTCCTAAGGAAGCAGAAGAGGGCCTTCTGTTGGGGGGAACCGGGCTCCCTGCTTCAAGGAAGAGGCAGGCAACAATTTTCAGGATCCCTCCTTCCCAGTAGCTGGAGCAGCGCCGCCCCCACTGGTTTGGGGGCAGAGCCACCCTCTGCAACAGAGCAGGTTTTTAGGGCAGAGTTGCTACAGGGAAGGGGGCCTAGGGAAAATGGCTTTTCCCCACCCGAGAAATCATTCAGAGTTTGCAGCTCTCCCAGGCAACTCTGGATCCCACTCATGATGCTTCAATTCCCATCCTGAACAAACAAATCGGAGCCAAAGATGTAATCCCCTTCATTAATAGGACTGTGGCACATTTGCCTACCTCTTCAGATCTGAAAACTCTGTAACGCAACAGGGTTTTCAGAAGGCAAACCCTAAAGCTGCTCAAATGAAGCAGGTTAATGCAATGTGGTTTCTCACAGATACTCCATAAAGTGAGTTTGAGTCTAGCTCTCCTCTATCAGTGCATCCCTAGCTGAAGAGAACAAAGGAAAATGGAATGTGCCAAATCATAACCCAAGATCGTGCTCCAAGGAAATGCACAATTGCTTTGAGGGTCAGCGTGAAGATAATTCTATCAAGTGCAGAAGACTTGCCTTTTCCTTTTTGTAAAAAAATACTTGTGCGCAGACAGCTTAAGTTCATAGGAAGAAATCAGATTCTGCTATGTTTGAATGCTCACCTTAAAAGGGGGCGGGGAAATATCAAGCATGCAATAGAATTTGTTTATAATACAGTATTGCTTTAAAAACAGATGGCAAAAAGCTATAAACTAGATGTGGTCTTTGGTGTCTAGGGTAGGGAGGGGAGAAAGGGGGGATTCAGTTGATGCAGGTTTAAAGATTCAGTTTGACCATTGGTAAGAAAATCGTCCCAAGGAACAAATGGCTTTACAGATACTGCTTGAGTAGAAATTGCTCTAAATGAAACAAAGCCAAGAATAACCCGCCAAGGCTTATTATCCGTCCCCGACTCTGAAACGTCTTCCCCCTCCATAGTTAGCCAACAGCTGTAGAAAGGCTGAAGAGATGGAAGCGGGAATAGCCCCTGCTCGATGGTCTCGGGAGACCTGGGACAACGGGATGGAGGTGGGGAGAGTCAGTAGCTCCTCAGGGCTTGCTCAAACGAGAAATTACACCACCAAAACGTGAGCTCCAGATTGAGAGCTACCTACTCCTCAAGCGGCGCAGAGAAGAGGTTGCATACTGACCTATTAATACAGGACTTCTAGCAGAAGATAGTTAGGTACGGCTGGTTCAGCATAAGGAATATGAGGGGTTGAAATGGTTTGTACAAAGTTACAATGGGCCACGTTTTTATGCTAATATGATTTTCATAATTTCATTTTATTCCACCCTGTATCCATGCCCCCCAAAAAGATCAGTTTCATCAAGCTACGTTGTTAAGGCATTTGGACAAGAAACGAAAGGTGACTTAAAGAAAAATCGTGCCATCTTTTAAAGGTAGGTTGAAGAGCTTCGATATGATTTTGCCTGTTATCATCGCAAACGAAATGCCTGTTAGAAGCAGGATGCATTGAAACAGTGACATGTACATGGTACATGTTACGTAATTATAAATAAAAGCTTGACACAATTATGCAAATATACAGTATAACCACCAAAAAATATTTAAAACAGGCTGAGGTAACCTCAAACGTACAGTTTTAATATAATAAACCTGGCAGTAAAACCCCCTTTTCATTTTTTTTTTTAAAAGATATGGTTGCTTTACTCACCACGATTATCAGCTAAACATCAACATTACCAACTGCTGTATAAAACATGGCTTTTCATTGCTAAGGACTTTTTTCCTACCAGCAAAAAAAGTTATGAAAAACTGACCAATATTTTTATACATACCTGTATGGGCATGTATAAATAAAAACAGCTATCGTTTTTTTTACACAAGCTTAGAAAAATGGGTTAGGGGAAATTATAGCTACTGAGAAATTGGACTGAGTGTATGTAAATGCAAAGATCTGCGATATTGCCAATTAGCAATCAGAGCCCTGTAAACATCATTAGCTTTCTCTGGGAATCCTGTACGCAAACAAACTACTGAAGTATAAATGCCACCCACTCAGAGCTTTGCTCCTGCACCAGAACTGCTGCTGGGGACCACACTCAGTCGATTCTTGGAAACACCATAAAGACCCCCAGATTCAAAGGGGAACGCCTGGAGCACAGAACGCTGTCACTTTTTGCTCCACAGCAAAATCCCGTTATAGCTGCACGGGTCTCATCCCAAACACTCAACCCCGGGTGTCTTCTCTGCAACTGAAAGAGGGTTAGACAATGATCTTCTGGAAGGATAATCCAGCTACCGCAGGGCCCTGCGTGGACAAAGAGCATGCCAACGTTCCACCGGTATAACAGTTAAGCACCTTCACAAACACTCTCTCTCACATGCACACCACATTTCACAAACTATTTCTGGATTTTAAATTGAGTAACAAAGCTCCTGGCTAATACCACAGAGACCAGTGTTTTCCAACCTTGGCAACTTTAAGATGTGCGGACGTCAACTCCCAGAATCAGGAGTCGAAGTCCACCCATCTTAAAGTTGCCGAGGTTGAAAAAAACCGAGACAGACCAAGAGGCGCGCTGCGCTTGTGAAGCCTGGGGAGAGTTCATCTACAAACACAAGGTTCAGCTATCTTTCCCACATGTTAAGCCAGTTACGGGATGCACTCTGACCTTCCACAGATGAAAACTGACTTTTTCTAGCCATACCTTCTTGGGACCTCACGGAGGTTCTCTTCACTGGAATTAGTTTTGAACTACCAACAGCCAATTCTACGTTATTTCTTGCTCACTTTTCTTCAGAGCCATACGTAGGGTTACTCCCTCTTCACCCCCTTTCTATGCAATAACTACTAGTCAGCTTTGAAAGACAAGCTTCAAGTATTGAAATTCTTCATTTCTTGCTTGGAGATGTACCCAGGTGTACTCCAGCTGAGGTGTGCGACAGGGGTCTTGACTGCATCTTAAACAGGCAATGGACGTAACACGTGATTAGCCACTGAGGTCAGGTGCAGAGAAAGACTTCCTGCCAGCAGGAAATAGTACATGTGAAGCTGAGAACAGTTGGAGACACACAAGTCATTAAAAGCTGAGTATTACAGCCGGTCAGTCTGTGTATTCAGCTACTATAGAGAGAAGAACGGTGATGTCATCTGGTTTCCCACCTGAAAAGCAAGATGTTTAGACAATTTTATCCCAAGGGCTGGTGCCATACAAGAGCAAAATATTAAACAGGACTGCCCCTAAACACGCAGGGAGGGGAAAGGAAATTTAACCCAAAGGGCTGAAAGTGTGACTGAACCCTTCAACAGCCTCCACTAAATTCTGCTAGAGATGCTTTTAAGAGCTTCAGAAGTGCAAATCTGCCAAGAAAATGAGACAAATCCCTGCACAAACAAAATCTAACCAACTCTTACACAGTATGGTGGCAGTTATAAAAACATGAACACATTTACCCCTGCCCGGATCACAATTTTGCACATTAGCAACCGCATTAACAAGTTCTCTTGTTCCGTACAATGTACTTTGGCAAACTAATTCTAGCCAGTATCTCATTCTGGTACCCTTGGAACGAGCCCAGCAATACAGGATTGTTCCCTCGTTCCCACTGGCAACTCAGAATTCTCACCTCTTACATTCAATCCATTGTCACACGCAAACTGTGCAAAGGGAGACATGTAATTCGGATCGTACGCCAGTTCGTGAGCCTGTTGAGCAATACTGCTTGCTGTCTGCTGTATGCTTTCATAATTTGAGTTCTAGGTTGAGAAAGGAAAAGAAAGCATGTGCATTTTTAAAAGGCTTGTCTGTTTCACCTGTCGCAAGTATGCAGTATAACAGGACCGCTAATGCAAAGAAGGTGGGGTCCAAATTCAAGTTAAAATGCTAGGTAAACAAAGTACAAACCCCACTCTTTCTACTGTCTCCAATTTGAGGAAATTGCATCCAGTTCTGAAAAGCAGATTTTAAGCTCTTTGATAACAGTCCATCTGCTTTAGATATTATCGGGGATGGACAGTAGCCGATTAAAAGATAAACCTGCTCTCAACTTTAAACTTTTGCTTGGCCCCCTGTTGTACATTTGAACACTAAGAAGAGGCTAGAAAACATTGAGAAGGTCACAGACTCACAAAGCACAGGATCAGAAAACGCTGCTCATGGGGAGAACACATCAACATTTGTCCCAAAGTTGCATTCTGCCATTCAACGCCAACGCACTGCCAAGACAACAATGCAACTTTGGACTGGAGAAATGCTATCTGTCAGGGATCCTTGCCAACTTTAAATTTCTCTGTGGTAGCACCCAGTACTGGACATAAGGACATGACCTCAGCAGGTTTGCAGGCTGGGTTTCTCACACACCCCTTTGGTTTCTCAAAGGCATAATCTCTCCCTCCCAACAGAAGGAGAATTGACCTTCACCGAGGTAGCTCCTAAGATGAGGTAGGAAAGCAAATCTTGTTCCTTATCTTTATATATTTAGCACAGTCTGGTCTCCCCCCACACCACCCCTTTTGCTTTTTACTGATATGGTCGCTGGAGATTGGATTAAAGCAGGCTAAAGGCAGAGGGGAGGGGTGACAAAGACGCTCAGAGGCCCAGTCCAAACTCCCCTCTCATCAAAGAACGATGGACGGAGACCTCCTTCAA